TCAAAGCCAGCCTCAGCAACTTAGCCAGGCCCTAAGCAACTTGGTGAGGACTTGTCTTAAAATTTAAAAAGGCCTGGGGATGTGACTCTGTGGTTAAGTGCCTCTGGGTTCAATTCCTGATGCAAAACAAAAACAAAAACAAACAAACAAACAAACAAAAAAAACCCGTGAAGGAAACATAAAATTACATTTTAAGGTTTTTGGAGACAGGGAGGGGTGAAGAACTGGTCTATCTCCAATAGACTTAAGGGCAGCAGGTTTACGTCTAGGTTTCTGTCCTATCCTAGAGACACACAAAGGTGCCTACACGAGGAAGCTCAGGGCACCCATTTAGTTTTTCTCACCCTCTTGATGTCTGCATTGTTGAAATTGTGTGGAGGAAGTATTTATGAGGTTGAGGCTGTGGCTCAGTGGTAGAGCGTTTGCCTAGTATGCATGAGGCACTGGGTTCAGATTCTCAGCACCACATACAAATAAATCAAATAAAGGTCCATTGACAACTGAAAAACTAAAAAAACAAATAAGTATTTATGAGCCACTTGAATAATTTATGCAAGGAAAAGTGCCATGTTAATTGCTAGATGTTCCATTTCTTCTTCATTCCAATAAACAGATGCCAAGATGATACCAGGAAAATCAAACTCTGGCCGAGAGGACGCTATTTAAAGCTTCGAGAGACTTCCTGTGAGAGAACCGGAGACCAGCCGCCAAGCTCTCCCCTGGGGGTTGCTCTGGCTTGAATTTTTCTTTTTTTTTTTCCTTCCAAAAAGTCATGTAGAAACGCAGTTGCTATCTTGGTGCGTTAGGAGGTGAGCCTTCGGGAGGTGATAGATAGGTCATGGGAGCTCTGTCCTCCTGGTGGGATTAACGCCCTTGGAAAAAGAACAGGTGCTGTTTTACGCCACGTGACAACGCAGTCCTTCCTCCGTTCCCTCCAGCACACAGCGTTCAAGGCGCCTTCTTGGAATCGGAGCCCTCAGCCTGCCTGCCCTTGACCTTGGACTTCTCCGTCTCCAGATCTGGAGCTAATACGTTTCTGCTAATAAACCCCCGTCTGTCTGTCCCGTTACAGCAGCACCCTGCCCTCCCACAGAGCTTGGTCCTGACCTTGACGGTGATGGCATTAGGTCGCAGGGCCCTTTGGGACTACTGCCTTACAAGGAGGCCACCGCTAGCCAGCTGGCCCCTCCACCCAGCCCTCCGCAGGCAAGTGGGCCTCAGACACAGAATGTGCCTGTGCCTTGGTTTTGGACCTCCCAGCCTCCCAAACGGGCAGAAATGTTTCTGGTGTTTATAAGCCACCCAGTTCAGGTATGTTGGTGACAGCAGCCCACAGGGAACCTGCCTCGGCTCTGGAACTGAGGTTCTGCCCTTCTTGGGCAATACCCAGACAGGCTGCCAGGCCTTTCTCTGTCCACTCAGTAGTATCCATTCATGAAGGTGGGGTGACCTCACAGCTGCCTGTGAGGCCCCACCTCCCCATACTGTTGCGTTGGGAATGAATTTCTCATGCGTGAATTTTAAAATTTTTAATTTTAATTGATTATTCACTGAGTTGTTGAGGGTCTCGATAAGTTGCTGAGGCTGGCCTCAAACTTTCGGTCCTCCTGCCTCAGCCTCTGGTGTCACTGGGATTACAGGCATGCGCTACCGCACCCAGTTCCCGCACACTAATTTTGGGGAACACATTCAAACATTAGGAATACTCCAAATAATTAAAAGCAGGGTCTCAAAGAGGACCTGAGTTTCTAGGAGCCAGGCCTGGTGGCCCACACTTGTAAACCCGTGACTTGGGAGGCTGAGGCAGGAGGATTGCCAGTTTGAGGCCAGACTCAGCAATTTAGTGAGGCCCTAAGCGATTTAGCAAGAACTTTTGTCTCAAAATAAAAAAAAATAAAAAGTGCTGAGGATGTGACTCAGTAGTTAAGTGCCCCTGGGTTCAATTCCCAGTACCCACCCACCCCCCAAAATAGTTTTGTGGATGGAGGGCAGTGATGATTGTCCCACATCACAAACATGCTTAATGCCATTAAACTGTACCCTTGAAGATGGTGATAGTGGTCAACTTTATGTCACATATATTGTACCACAATTTTAAAAAGTAAATAATTAAAAAATGAACCTCTTGCAGAGACAAAGGTGGCCTCCTCCCTGCATACACTGGGATATTATTCTGCATCAGACACTAGTTAAAATAAATCGGATATAAAATTTAAAAAATTTGTAGTATCAACCTTGTTTCCTGTGCAATACGGGAATATTAATATTAATGAATATTAATACCTGCTACCAGCTTGTTCTGTTCCTTTCCAAAAGAGATCTGCCTTTGAAGTGCTACATGAACGGAGGGTCTGGTGGGACTCTGAAGGGTAGGTTGTTGCCATGCCCCGCGAACATAGCCTTCCAAGGGAAGCCTGTTATCCTGATTGTCGTCTGTCACGGTCATGTGTTGCCCTGGTCCTAAAGTCATGATTGACACCTGGTGTTCCTGTTGAGGCTGCACTGGGCAACAGGACACCCTCCCCACACCTAATACGAGTGGTGGAATAAGAAAAAAAAAATGCTTGCAAATGAATTCAAAAGTGATCTGGGCTGGGCCACCCATCCATCTTCCTCTTCCTGGTCCGGTTTGTTTCCTTCTTTTGTGGATCAAACCCAGGGCCTTGAGCACTCTTGGCCAGTGCCCTGCCACTGAGCCACATCCCCTCCTGTTCTGACTTCCTCTTCCTGTTCATCTGAAATTCCCATTGAACTGGTGTCCTGTTTTTTTATTTGTAAGAGAGAAAGTGTTCGGGGTTATCTAAGCCCCAGCCCTCAAGATTGTAACTATATTTCTTAATTTTTTAGTTGTAGCTGGACACAAGACCTTTATTTTATTTATTTCTTTTTATGAGGTGCTGAAGATCCAACTCAGTGCCTTACACGTGCCAGGCGAGCACTCGACCACTGAGTCACAGCCCAGCCCAAGGTGATAACTTTTAAGAATTCTGGTTTTCCTTCTTTGATTTCTCTGCAAAATGCTAATGTTCAATGGTTCTCAAATTTGAGTGTGAATCATCCAGAGGGTTTATATTATATATATATATATTAGAGGTTGCTGGCATCCATCTCTGGAGTTTCTGATCCAGTGTGTCAGGGGGTGGGGCCAATAATTTGTATTTCTAACAAATTTCCAGGTCATATTGATGCTGCTGGTCTGAGGACCACACTTGGAGAATCAATGCCTTAGTTCAGTACCAAGTTAACAAATCCCGTATTAAATTCTTCCTGTTAGCACACCTGGTGTGGTCTCTGCCTGATGATTGGATACTTGCTGTCTTGATACCCTGAGAACATCAGGTAGGGCTGGCTTTACCTCTCCTGACTTTATCACCTAGGAGGTTGACCCTAGCCAGAGGGAGGGACAGACAAAGGTTCGACAGTCAGGTGGCCTGCTAGGTGATACATCACGATTTGAGTTTTTCCTACTGGAGGAGTGGGATTGAGTTTATAAACTAGGGCCAGTTTTCTTTTCTTTTTCTTTTTTTTTTTATAGGAAAAAGAACACACAAAATTTATTTTATGCCTAAAGTATGATGGTATTAGAATCCTGGTTTTCTTTTTTAATATTTTTTCAGTTGTTGGTAGGCCTTTATTTATTTATTTATTTATTTATTTATTTATTTATTTATTTGTATGTGGTGCTGAGAATCGAACCCAGGGCCTCACACATGCCGGGCAAGTGCATTACTGCTGAGCTGCAGCCCCAGCCCAGAATCCTGGTTTT